ACCTATATCTTGGACAGCCCTTTATCCTGGAACTTGGTCACCCCTTTTGTTTTAAGTTGGACAGGTGCAAGCATGCACTTAGCTTCAATGCCTTTATGGGGAACGTTTACAGTTAGTATTTTGTTCTTTTGAATTTCTGACTGATGAATGCCTTCTACCTGAGAATTAGCTTATGGTTGAGGGTGTGAGACATTGAACACATCATCGGAATGCAGTGGAAGTGTATAGTTATTCCTTTGTTAAACCCCTCACTGGAGTTTTAACTTTGTCAGTACAATGCTTGCAACTGAATTAAACAGTGTTAACATAAATTGGAACGGTATGCTTTCGCTCATAACCAACAAGGAATGGTTGAAACTTTATTCCAATTAATTACGGCAAAGATTAGTAAGAGGATGGCAAATTCCAAGATAAAAGCAAAAAAGCAGTGTCTTGTAACGGGTTTTTTTATAACAAATAAGTGACATCTTATGTTGAGCTTAAAAAAATACATTCTGAACATTTAAAATTTCATTGAGTCTGGGATGTAATGTGCAACCATGAGAGTGGGTTTCAAAACATTATTATTATTGTCATTAATTCTTAATTCAAGCAAGCCTACAGTGGTTAGATTATGTAAGTAAATAGATTACATTGTCGGTAAACGTAAAGTATTGGTGTCCTTCCCTTTCAGCTTATCCATGCAAGTTTAATTTACTCAAAACAAAATTTGTAAAAAAATAATTTAACTTTTTGATTTTTCTTATCAATAATTTCCTTTTTGGGAAGGGCTCCATAATACTCTACAATTACCACATTGTCATTACACCACAATTTGAAAGGATGATTTTCCCTCTATCTTGGACACCTCTGTAAGTTGGACACATTATCGTGGAACCGCAAGTGTCCAAGTTAGAGAGGTTTTACCGTAGTATGGGAGGGTGTGGACTGGATCCATGTGGTTCAGAATAGGAACGACTGTTCTGAACATGCTTTCGGGTCCATAAAGACGATACTAAGTAACTGGTAGCCTCTCTAGAAGGTGTCTGTTTCATTGATTAGTCGGAGAGTTATTTAGAAATTTCAAATTCCGACATTACTATCTAGCGTTGCTTATACTTTAAAGTCTACACGGCCTCCATGCTGATATGTTTGACAATTCAGATATGTAAAGGTCAGATTATCTGTAGCAGCATGATGTTCATCCTTCCATTTTTTTCCCCCGGCATTTGGTTTATTTTGATCTAGTTCCATTGTTCCCTTTCCTCTCATTATATTTTTAAATTAGTGTAACTTTGGCTCCGGCCTTGACTTCACGCGTCGCCGGTAACAGAATGAAGGAGTTCAGTTTTTACCCCGCTTCAGAAAGTACAGATGGTATTCAAATTGCGACAAAATTAAATATTTGGGAATGATGGGTAACAATATTGCATTCGCGAATAAATTAAGAACAGATTAAATTCGGAGAATGAAGTACAGAATATTTTATCTTCCAGTCTACTAAACGTAAGACTAATACGCAAAATGAAAGTATAATTTTACTTTTTGTTTTGTATGGTTATGAAACCTGATCTCTCACATTAAAGTACCGCGCCCCATTGTGGTTATCCATATTCCTTGCTAAATTGCGACATCAAAGATAACATTTCCATCCTGTGAGGAAATTCTGTGACCAAAGGAAATCCTCACATTTGGTTTCTGGCAGATAATGACGTCTATTGTGAATAGAATCTGAGATGGCATGAGGATATGAAAAACCCACCATGTACGACTGACTCCTTCTAAGTCTTTCTTCATCATTTTATAGTTATTAGCCTGACTTTGAAATAACCTATGGTACCTTAGATTCATCACCCTGTCAACGAAAGCAAGAGACTCTACCATGCCCAGAGTTTGTTCTATCCTATTTACAGCTTTGTAATATATTTCTTCAACATGCATTTTAATATTATCCTTATAACCACGTATTGGTCCAATAAGTGATCTTTTGCTACGAGGTTTTCCTACCGTGTGTCCTAAAAAGTTTAACACACACAAGGTTACTCATCCGTATTTTGTGTATGCATATTTTTGGGACAACCTGTATATATCGGTACGTGTTTTTTGTTTCCATCAAACGTGTTGCATGCCCCAGCAGGTACACCCATTTCATTCATTTGCATTAACAATGCTGTTTATAGAGTAGAATTTGTGAAGCTTTGCATGACGCAAATTTATCTGTTTTCCTCGTTCTGTGTCAAATGGAAAAGTTGTTTTGATATTTATATGCAAATTATAGAAGCTTAAGCTTGTTACAGTTATGACTTGTAGGTAGACACCAGTGTTTCGAAGGAACATACCGCCTTCATCTTAAGGCTCAGCTCTGAAAATTGAGGATTATGTTACGCACCTAAACGTTCACATGGCGTTACAATTCAGAAGACCAACACAGACATTTTAGTTTTTATTAAGCTTTATAATTTTCAAGAACTATGTTACGTTGATGCAAATGTTCGATAAAAGCCGAGCCTAAAATAGTAGTCTTGACTTGACTTGTAACAAGATAATAGCACATATTTAAGCGGCAACTCAGGATACTGTGTGAACATTACAATATTTAGAATAAACAGTTGTGGATAACCGGATGTCCCTGAACTAGCAACAGCAGAATATCTTATTTGGAGAATGAGTTATCTGTTACAAGGTAAATGTATTTCCTGAGGTACACAGAGAAAATGAAATTGAAATATTTGATAAATATAACAGGCCCAAGGAAGACCTAAAATCTAGCTACGGTAATCAACCTTCAAGTTCAACTCTGCTCTATGAAGTCAGTGAAAGCAGAAAACTTTACCTGGCCGTTCTCTGTTTGTATAAGCCTACAGCGATCTCAACTGAACTTTCAGACTTTACACTGTTTGGCCACGTAGGTTAGCTAGGGGGCAGACTGGTTGTTCGAAGAGTGACATCCTCATGGTACAAAAAGATATGTAAACCTAATTAAAATATTTAACAAGTAATAACTAATATGCACACAGTCTAATTAAAATGAAAACTGTCATAGATTACTTAACACGTTAGCCATTTTAATCTATAGCATAGTTTTATTTATTCAAATTTTATTTATACAACCAAGTTTCATCACTGCCGTAACATAAACTATTTTCAAGTATGATGTGAAGGTTTCACGGCGGATGTGGTTAATAAAATTTTCTCAGGCCAGCAGCGGCTTCACTTGGTTAAACTCTGCAGAGTGACGCGGCTGCCGGCCCAAGAAGATTATATTAATATTCTTAAGTACGTCGCAATTTGGTGAAATTACATAAATATGCAAATTTACATCGTTATAAACACATATTATACACCACCTAATGATTAAAAACTAGTTTTGTGTCTAGTGAATGATTGCAAGAAACTGTATTGTTTAATTAACAGGTCACGCAATTACAATAATTAATTAGTCTACCTCGACCAACGTATGTGATAGGGCAAGGACGTCAACAATGGGCAGACCAGGGGTTCCCAAACTTTGGGTCGCGAGGACTTTTTGACGGGTTGCGAATGTCAAAAGTTAAATGTATGTGTAAATATGATATTTACTCACCGAATTCGGTACAGACATTATAATAAACAATAACAGCGAAGCAAGTAGAATATTCACACATAGCGTAATAATTCTGGCCCATCCGCTGTGTTAAAAGCCTCTGCATTTTTCAATTTGTAAATGCTTTCTCGGCAAGTAATTTCGGGATGCAGTTTGTTGTCATGACAGGATATTTGACCTTTACGAATGTGACGTCATTGTTGACTGTATTCAGGTACCTTCAGACTAGATGTCATTAAGGAGATCCACCGCGAGATTTCTTCGTACCCAAGGTCATGTGAGTTGTTCATACGTTTATTTGATGTGGTCATTGTTGCTGCTGAATTTTAACCAACATTTAAATGTGTCAGCAAATGTTTGAAAACTTTCCTGTAACAAATTTCATTCAGGGGTTCTCAAGTAATTTTAGGTGCGATGGACGGACAGACAAGGCAAAGTTTTGGTGCATGTTTATAGCGGAGTCAAGAACGTATAAAAATAGACCAAAACAGAAGATTTCTGTAGTATGTTTCTCCAAAATGTCTTACACACGGAATTCCAACCCAAAAGCAAACTTTGGCATTTTCACCACAATCAGAACCTAAAATCATATAAGTTTTCTGTAGTCTGTGAGAGTTTAAATGATAGAAATCAGCAACTGACTAAATTACATGGAGGTAAAAATTTCATTTAAGAATTTACAATTACTACCCCATTCTCTGGTTTCATATATAGTTTTAAGTTAATAATTATGGGGTCCGCAGTGGCCGCGCGGTCTGAGGCGTGGGTCTTGTGCCGCTTGGTCGCAGGGACCGTGGGTTCGAATCCCACTCAAGCCATGGATGTTTTTCTGTGATGTGTTGTACTGTGTACAGGTAGAGGCCTTGAAACGGGACGATCCCTCGTCCAAGGAGTCCTACCGAGTGTCTATAGATCAAGCCAACTGAAAAGTTGGGGACCCGTATAGGGTACCGGAAAATGTACAAACATTGTTAAACCGGAAAAAGAATAAGTTAATAATTATTCAACATAGTTATGTGCAATTTCTGGTAGTATAGATTTGTACTACTCAGAAGTTGTCAGACAGGCTAAAATGTCTGTGCTGCTGCCATTTTAATAATTTTAACTCAAAAGAAATGCTTCATACATATATCTTTTCAAACCACATCACATTTACAGTTGCATTGATTCATTAATTATCATAAGCAAGTCAAGAGGTAAATATTGAATGTCTAGTAACCATATTTTTGTTTTATATTCTACAAAAGATGACTTCAATTGAAGACTTATCACTATAAAACATTTCAGCATCTAGTACAAAGTGATGTTAAAGATTCTCATATAACAAAAGTTCTAAAATAGAATCTCTTAAGTTATTTTGTAAAGGAGGACATTGTTTCTACGCCATACTTCTAAAATTTATAATACTGAATATAACAATCTTACCAATTTTTTTCAGTGCACTGAAATGGCGTCAGCAGTTAGATTTATGTTCATAGCAGGAATTGCTCTGCTGCTATTACAACTTGCCAAAGCAAGACCTCAAGCAGACCTCGAAACTCTCATCGGCGAAGTGTTCAAAAGACCGGACACCGAAAAAGATTCCACCAGTCAGCAGTCGACAGAAGAGAAAAATCAGCAACCGACAGAAAAGAACCAGGGCCAGGAACAAAATAACAACCCACTGGATTGCCAGTGTGTTCCGTACTACCTCTGTCACAACGACACCATCATCGAAGATGGACGTGGACTCATTGACATCAGGTTGGGCATTTTACATTCTAACCAGCAATGTCCTTGCCCAACTTCAAATATCCCAGGGTGAGTCTGGGTCAGTCCTGCCTGCGAGCCAGCCAGACATTGCATGTTCTAGTTTGCATGAGTACACTCTAACTACTTACAAGGATGTATCAGATGTGAAATTATTTAAACTTTCTTGTATTCTCCTCCTTCTGACCTGTATTTAAGATTGCTGAGATAAAGAAGGATAAAGTAAAAAAGGGCAAATTTATCCCTGGAACATATTAAACACCACACCATGATAATATAGAGAGTGGTGGAGATATGTTGCTACTTCTCTTGACCTCAGTACTAGGTGCGCTGTCCTTGGGAATGGATCCGCAGTACCCACTGGATAGGAGGCTGGGTGGGCCCCAGATCCAGTCTGAATGCAGAGGCTAAAAGAGAAATATTTTACCCATCAGGAATTCAAATAAATATTCTCAAATTCCGATTTGCTGCGGTCAGCAAGTGGAAGGCACTTCTAAATAGACTACATACTGAACATCAAGGTTTCCCCAAATCATCACCTGCTAGCTAGTGGCTTTAAAGCACCCCTGAATAAATCACACATTTGGAATATATCTGAATGCAGAAATAAATTGGACTGACAGCTTGTCACAGAATAAATACATATTTACATTTATGCCCTGCCTTAGATATGATTCACACAGAAATGCCCTTTCCAAGGAACCAGATTACTCATCATTCCATCTTATCCAGGGCCACAGTAGCATATCGGCTTGTATATATTTTTTTATTGTGTCCATATTTTGTTCCCGTTTATTTTGGTAATAAGCAATTTCTTCTTTAATGTTCCAGTTTATTTAAGATACAAATTGGTATTGTCCTCAACTACGCCTCACTCTCCCAAGCGATTTCTTCCTTTCAGGCTTTCTTGCTAAAATGCTGTTCCCATTTTTCATCTTTCCAGTTCCACTTCACGTCCTTACCATATAATCGTCATCGATTTGGTGACCGTAATAACAATAATAACAACACGAAGCTCCTCAGTTTATAATTTCTTCCACTCTCGTTTCTTTCCTTCCTCTTAGGCTGTGGTCAAAATGGCTTAATATACAGCCTAGTTGTCATTTTGCTGCACATGTCGGTACACATAATACTGTGGAGTAGAATATAAGTGCTTGCTTTTTATCCATTTCACTATGTGTGGGAAAAAATGCAATTTCATTTATTTGCCCAAATTAAAAAATGGTAACAGTGGTGGTGGTGGTGGTGGTAGTAGTAGCGATGATGGTAGTTGTAGCAGTAGCAGTGGTAGCAATACTACTACTACTACTACTAGGTCTACCAATATGATGGTCATTTTTTGTTTTAAATTTTTGTATATTATAACCAGATCTAAGATGGTTCACAATGAAAAGCTTATAAATTTAGTTTGTGAAAGACATCTGTTATGGAACTTGAAAAGTACAACATGGATATCTCCAGATTATTAGGGAATAAAGCTGTTTTGGAAATGGAGAGCACAAGTGAGTAATATTGACATTTCTATTGAATAATTGCTGAATTCTTATCACATTGGTAGTAATAATGTGGCTACAAACATTGCAGCATCCAATAATAATACAACAGGTCCATCTGTACAACTCAAAACCTCACATAAAATCAAAGTTTTTGAGGTAAATATTGTGTCAGATACAAGATCTCGCTGGAGCAAATTTAAAATATGTAAAACTCCATTGTAATTTGTACACATTTCAGAAGCATTTGTATTTGGGAATATACTATAGTTATTTGTAATTTATAATTATTATTGTGATAGATGATGAAAAGTGGTTATTGTTTTTCTAAAATAGTCATATGAGGGGTTTTTTGGTTCATGGATCCAATGTAAAAACTGTTTTTGGACTGTAGGAAGAAAAAATACCACTGTGCCTTAAAGTATGTTTCTCATTCCCTAAACCTTTTCTAGTTTTAAGATTAATGCTGTAGAGATTCCATTATTCAGTAATTTATCTGTTAATTTGTTCTATATAATTATCACTTTCCCCATTTGAATGTAAGAAATCAAGCAAAAGATTGCATTCTGTAATTCTCTTACAGGATCAAGAATGGGCCCTGTGAGAACTACCTGGATGTCTGTTGTCAGACACCACAAACAGTGACCGAACCTATCACACCAACGCCACAAATAAGGTCTGGTTGTGGCCACCGTAATTCAGAAGGTGTAGGGTTTCGCATCTTGGGTGCAAATGATGGTGAGGCCCAGTTTGGAGAATTTCCATGGATGGTGGCCATCCTGAGAGAAGAATCATTGGATACCAACCCAGAGAAATTGAATGTCTACCAGTGTGGAGGTGCTCTGATACATCCGCAGGTTGTATTGACAGCGGCCCACTGTTTGGCCACGTGAGTATAACCAGAGCACTGATAGATATATAATACACTAGCTCACGCTTTGTATGTACCCATTTGATACTAAGTATCTTTAGTTTTTCCTGCTTTTTGAATGCCAAAGATAGTATAACAAATACAGCAGTTTTTCGTCAGTAAGGTGGTTTACTCGCAGCCAGTTGACCTTATAACTTTCTGTTCCCCTACATAAATTCTGTATGCATTTAAAATGTTACTACTATCATCACAACAGTTTCACTTTCTCTCGTATTTAATTCATTTATGATGCCAGCAACCACTCTTATCTGTTTTATTCTTTAATTTTAATTTAATTATGTGTCACTCTTATATTCAACAAAAGTGAATTAGTGTCAACAAAAAGTTTAAATGATTTAACATCAATTTTAGACAAGCAGAATTCATGTTTTAACAACAGTGTGGTAATATGGAAGTGAAAATGTTGACCTGAAGATGGGTTTATGATTCAAAACATGTCATCGCAAGTGAATTGAAAACAAGACAAAGTTAAATTGTTGTGTAGGCAGATAATAATATTTTAGATTTATTTAACAATATGATGCTCCTGTATAATCTGTATGCATTTGTTTCATTCAACCAAGATGCATAACTAGCCCATCTAAAGCTCCAACAATTGATCAACCATAATAATGATAATTTAAAATGAGTTTTTTATTTTATGTGCAGACTGAAAAACCCACGTTCACTAAAAGTTCGTGCAGGAGAATGGGACACGCAGACAAAGAACGAGCTGTACCCTCACCAAGACAGGAATGTGAAGACCATTGTAATACATCCCGACTACTATGCAGGGGCCCTGTACAATGACATTGGTCTCCTTTTCTTGGAGAATCCTGTAGAGTATGCTGAGAATGTTGATGTCGTGTGTCTTCCACCGCAAGGAGCAGTGTCTGACAACAGTCGGTGCTTTGCAACTGGATGGGGCAAGGATACGTATGGTAAGTTAAATGCCCACATTTTATTTGCTTTCAGTAATCATCATAAAACGTTGTCCACAACACATGTAATCTCTTATAATAATAATAATAGTCGTAACACAATTCCAAGTTAGTATTAATTTGTACATAGCTATTTTTAGTAATTACATTTCCACTTTTCTTGAAGTAGTCTACTGTAGATTGACAAATTTATTTCATTTACAATACTTCCAGTTCATTAGTTTACAAATTAAGTTTAAGATTAATTTGTGATTAGTGAAGCAGTTACACGATGGAAGTCTACACAAATGTTAATACAAATCATCCTGCAGTCTGTGGTCTAGTTTCCATATTATAGTTTATTTAACTTAAAACCTTTATTTGAAGTTAATGGTTATATAAAATGTGTTTATCCTCTACTGGTATCGTAAATTCTAGTGACAGAAATTAAGAAATAACATGGAATGAGAAGTAAATTGTTACAGTATGGTATTAAGAAGCAGTCAACGAGATATGATACATACATAATGAATTTACTCATGCATTTTTCTTCAGTCTGAAAGGATTTATCAGTTGTAAAAATACAAATTTCATTCATAAAATGTAGACTTATTTTTCCACCCACCCAGATATCATCGCTAGATAATTCCACACAAATTCTTTCCATTTTAAAATATGAAACAAAATGTCTGACTTCAGGTAAGGAAGGACGCTACCAGGTAATTTTGAAGAAAGTGGACTTGCCAGTGGTTCCTCGGGCTGCATGTATAGAAGCACTGCGCCAAACCAGATTAGGTCCTTTCTTCAAGCTTCACGAAAGTTTCATCTGTGCTGGTGGGAGCGAAGGAAAAGACACATGCAAGGTGATACATCGTTAGTGCTAATTAACACGCATATCTGATGGTTGAAGACTTCCTCATTACATTTAATGTTTTTGTTTTTCATCCATTTAATTCAGGGAGGGAGAGAACAGGTGATGGGGGGCACATCACCTTCGAAAGATTAGTTATGGAGTTTGGGATCTCTCTTGTAGTTCAAACTGTTAGTTCCATTATATTGACAACAGACATGAATGCATTAATTTTATTGGAACTACAGAATGTTATAAGTGAGTGGTTAGCACTCTTGCTTCATATTTAGAAGGTAGCAGGTTCAAATATTAGCTCAGGGACTAGCTATCCTGACTTGGGTTTTTGTGGTTTCCAGGGAAATTCCAGGACAGTACCTCAACCTATGCCATGACCGTTTATTTCCACATACTTTCTAATCATTTATTCACCATCCTATAATTTGCTGCCAGTTTTCATAGCATTATTAAATAACCCAAGAATAAATAAATTAACTATGCCAAGTTACATACCAGTTCTTTTCAAATATAGAATAAAGTTCAATTTGAGTTTCATGTGAAAGTTCAGATTATAATGAATTTGTACACACCAAATTCATCTAACGACCTTCATCGTACGCCCTCACCCAATATGAAATTTAATGAGAATCATTTTTAATTGTTTGATTCCTAACATTGCTTAGTTCAGAGGCCAGAGCAGTAACATTCTGATACAAACATTGTGGCAAGTGTAAAACAAACAAGATTTTTTGTGAGATTTGAGATTCTCACAGTAGAGATGCAGATATGGGTCTTCTGGGTTGTAATGCCATGTGGACCTGTAGGTGGATACCATTATTTGGGGGGGGGGAAACTTGTCTTCATGTTGAACAGTAATACAGTTTATTGCAGCATTATCTTTTCAAACTGAACTGAAAGTACAGATATCAAAATTCCTTACAAAGTAAATCAAGTGTGAAAACATCTTCATGGTAACTGAAATGAGATTCCTGACAAACACACCAACACAAAACCGACTGCCCGACTCCCGACTCCTTCCAGACCCTATCACAGCTTTATTTGCATTTCTTTTTACCAGTCTTCATTCAAATTTTATACACACTGCACATAAGGTGTGCTCATCAAGTCAAGCATGATGGGCATTGGTTATTAGCATATACTAAAAGTAATAGATGCTCTTTAAGGACATGATTCATTATACTGAGAGAACCACACGTGTCCCTTATACACAAAAAGCAGAGTTACTGATTGCTAACGCAGATAGCACCTGTAGTTACCACTTGGCTTCAAAGGGCTGGCTTCTTCATCAAGCTCTAGTGTGCTTATAGCAAAAAGCTCTGCCAAGTGAGTACGTTTTCTGAAATCAAGCGACCATTCTTCATCACACAGTACAACATAGAAATTGAGAAAAATATATGCAGGCTATGGCACACGCAGCCTGCATCTAAAATGGTTCGCCAAAAAGAAAATGGGACAATTAGTGTTAGTTTAGGTCCAATTTTTTCTTATTTGGTGCAGACTCAGGATGTCTCTTGAAAAGAGAGAGAACAACCACTGGTCAGTAAAGAGCACAGAATCCGACCTTTGGTGTTTAATGGAAAGGGGCAATACTACTGATAATTATTGTTTTTATAATTAAGATAACCATGAATAAATATTTACTATTGTTATCATTATTAAGCAACTAATCCACCAATCACAAATTACTTCCTTAATAACTGGGCAAGATACACAAATTTAAGCCATTAATTTAAGCTCTAACTGCAGAAGTCAGATTTAAATATTCACTTTGACAAAAAAGCTTTTGTGTTGAGAGTACAAACATGCCCCTTGATAAAATATTTCATAAAAAGAACTTTCAGTATCTATGAATATGTCTGTTGTGATTTTGCTCTAAATTCGTTGTTGTTTCGTATTTATCCTTACCATTATTGAAACTTGAATTTAAAATGGACTTATTCTTCAGGGTGATGGAGGTGGTCCTCTGGTGTGTCCTTCTGCAGATGACCCTACACGTTATCAACAAGTAGGAATTGTTGCTTGGGGCATTGGTTGTGGAGAAAACAACACGCCTGGAGTCTACGCCAATGTGGCTTTGTTCCGAGATTGGATAGACGAACAGATTGCTTACCAGGGACTTAACCCAAGCAATTTTGAATCTTAAATTGTGTGTACTTGAAAATGTGTGATAACTAATTGTAAGTATAAAACAATCTTCATGGAGTAAATGCCATCAAGATGGGTTGTCAAGTTCTTACAGTATTTCTGGAAAGGACTGAAAACCAGTTTAAAAGTTTCCTTATAAATTACATAAAATTCCACTATTATTATCAAAATCCATGATTTAAATTACATATCAGTATTATAAAATAATAAATAAAAAACACAACAGCTGTGTTCTGCAGAGGTTTCAGTTCATAACTGTATTAAAAACCTTATGAATCTGAAAATGACGTATAAACACAGTGGTCTTCACCTTCACGTCATTCTTGTTCCGTTTTATTTACGGTGTTATTTTTGAGGTAGAAGTAAAAGGTAAAGCAGCCCGAGTGTATACACCAAACCTACGAAGACATGCGACACATGGATGTCAAGCTCCGTGTATGTCAGACCTGAGGTGAGTGGTGAGTAATGTTCTGTAAAAACTTAAGCTGCAGTTTTCTTCACTTTTGTCCAGAATTAAACATTTTGATTCAGAACAGCAGTGAATGGGTTGATTATAGCTCATTATAAATTGTTTTCTAGAAACATCAGAAAAGCCTACACGTACCTCAGATCATCACAAATAAAGTGTGTTGAAATTTGTAAACAGGAAGAAGTAAGATTTAGAGTAAATTTTGAGCTAGTACAGGAAATTAGATGGGTAGATGAGATATTTTGCCTAAAAAGTCATGATATAGTTTTCAGTGATGCTGAGAAAGTTCATATTTTTCTAAGCTGTATCTTTAATACATAAACGAGACAAACAACTTAAATGGAGTTTATCCATATATCATATAAGTTTAAGCTTTAAATCACATATTAAATAATGAATTTCAAATAGTTATGCAAGTATCTCATCAATTTTCTTGATACAAATTTCTTTTTAGTTCATGAGAAAATCAAGGTGAAATTTTATTTCTGTGGTAAAGGAATCTGAAAGGGAAATGTAATGCTGCTGAACATGTGACTAGAAGTGATCCCATCTAGTTTATGACCTACATTTCCAAGATCCATTTTAATATCCTGCAATTTCTTCAGGACTCATGCTCCTGAATGTTTCTGCACATAAATTGTGTAAGCATTTCTTGTTCCAAGTAGGGACCAGTGATACTTGTATAAAGTGTCTTACAGCGAGAAAATAAATCACATTTCTTGTAGGATAAAAACATGACTGCTGAAATTGTAAGAATCTGAAACTGGTCAAATGACCTAACAGAACTGATGGTTTGTAGTAGTCAAAGGTGGCTAGACTTTATATCACAAGCAATTGGAAGGGGATACAAAATTACATTCCTGTTTCATTATTCATGATAAAGCACACAAGTTCTACCTGCCAGAAGCTGAGTATATCAACTGTAACTGGTAAGTACCTTGAAGGATCCATTTGTGTGAAAAACTGAAAAAATGTGAGAGTTCATAGGAGATGGGACAAGCATCGTGTGTGGTGTGACATGTTCGAGGTATCTACAATCTAAATCACGGCTTTCCATGCGTCTCAGTGTCCATGTCTTGCCAGTACTGCATTCTCAATTACAGATTTTAAGCATCTATGTGAGTTTTCACTTACATTCAGTGTGACCAACAATAAATGGTTTTATATATCCATAATTTCTGTGTAAAAAGGAAGAAGACTGGAACGGTGTAATCCATTCTATAATACACACTTTCCACAAGCATTCTTTGCAAATTCTTATTATTCCTAGTTGAAATAAATATTGCAAAAATGCTACGCACGTGTTACTGTAAGTATTGTCCTTGTAAGGGTGACAACAGATTGCAAGCAATGTAGAAACATAAGCATACCTTATCAATGAAAGATTTATTCATTGACTCTTACCCAGTTATCTTCCAAACAAACGAAACGAGTGAACTCCATTCCAATGCGTATGGTCCCACAGTTTTAATCAAAATGCATGAACATGCATCTTAAATGTTTTCTTTCTTTACTGACTTATCAGGCACAAATTGTTGAGCTTCAAAGGGCCTTGACTTTTTCACTTTTGCAAAATGATAAATAAATGCAATGTATAACCTATAATATTTGTCAAGGTTCTCATAATTTGTGAATTTTAAAGAAGAAAATTAATTATAATGGAGTCAGTTTCCTTACTTCACTAAATTTAGTTTCTAATTATACATAACACATCTGTCTTTAATGTCCTCTGTACATGTTGGTATTGTGCAAAGAACGCAATTTAGTTCAGCTTTGGTAAGTGTTAACAATGGCTATTCCCATTAGGTCTTGGACCCGTGGTTGATGACAGGCTGCTAGTCACTCCTGTACCACTTCAGACAATTCAGCAAGTTAAGGCTGAGGCTGTCTCATGATTTGGAAGATACAGAACATCATTAGCTAAGGAGATGTACAATTTACACTGAGGATGCCAACAATATTTAGAATTCAATGAGTATTTTCTTTGTACAAAGTAGAAATATGACCTAGAACCACAGCATAAATCAAAATGTAATATCTGTTGCATACGATGGCACTTTTAACATCCATTCCACAGGCATTTGTATCTGAAACTAACATATATCTTAGTTCATTAATGTGACTTGCTGTAAGAAAAATCTGTTTACAAGAAAATGCTTGTGGCCTGCAATATTAAGGCTGGGGAAGCTGATAAATTATGCAATATCATTTCCTATACACTGGCCACTGATCTTTCAAAATCATATGTCTGATCCAATGTAGTATGAGATACTGACAGCACTGTTAAATAAACTACAACTACATAAATACATCCCAATGATAATGTAAACTCTGTCAACTACAAAACAAAATGCATAAATAGTAATGATATTCAAATCCATAACATATCACATATTTAATATAGTAACATCCTTTACAAATATTCTCAACCAAAATTCAAATCTGTATGTGAAATGTCTGCACTGATAACGGCGTAGTTATTTATAATGTCCAAAAATAAAATGCAATGGTTGCCTTCTGAAAATTAAGCCTGCATTTTATACATCTTGTATACATGTCACTACTCTATTACATACGCATATAAATTCATTCTTCCCCATACATATAAAGATTATACTATTACAACATTAAAAGTCAATGTTGAGTTGTGAGTGTGTAAAAGTGTATTTTATTATCGATGTTTCAACATCTTATTTGCCACTTGAAAATGGAGTCCACACGTTAAACACCTTTAATTTATTTTGTAAAATCTAACATTTATACCTACGTATTAATTACAAGCAAATCATGATACCTCTTTCCATGTTTATAATACCACAAACAGTTTTTTTCTTAAAAAATAACCCAACACTTCTTATACCGTAAGAAAAATCTAAAGTAAATAGCATGTGCTCAGGCGATTTAATTCCATAAGAAACATGTGTCTACACCGTTCGCCATTATTATCTTTTGTGCCACAAAGCATCATGGGTAGAAAACACAGTATCGGTGACGTCACATAATTAGAGTAAATACAAAGTAGACTGATGTGCTTGTGGCGTGCTGTGTGTGAGCTCAGTGATTTCTTTCGATTTTATAATGGATACTAATTACATACAGGTATGTAAATTATACCATATCATTTTAAATATATTCAATAAGTATTACAACAAATATTATAATTCTTAAATGATTTTCGTAGATAATATGGGCGATATTTATTGACAATTCCTGAACCATTGTATCCCGCTGTATGAATGCAAGAAAAGTGCGTTCCAAACTCGAACTACGAGTGCCAGGAATTTTATTTATAAGGCTATTATTATTTTAATTTCAGCTAATTGGTGCACCATGTGGACACCATGGACAATATACATTCTACAAAGGTTTTAAGTATAAAAAGAATGGAAGACATAAAATATTATCTCTGAGTGATTTTTTCTTCGTCAAATTATGGAGTGATTCAGACTTAATTAGCATTGGAGAATTGCAACTTTTGTGGATAGACAAAAATAGCGAACAAGTGTTGTCAAGTTTGCGATTATATTTTCTACCAGAAAACACACCTGAAGGGAGGAATGATGATCATGGAGAGGTGAGTAATTAATAATACATAAATTAAATCAGGTAATGGAGTTGAATACATATATATGTATATGAATTTTGTTATCGACTAGCATGCATATGACGTATTCACTAATCGAGAAATTAAGGAGTGAGTTACTTTTTTCTTATTCATCTGTGTAATTTTTAGGAGACTGATGAAACACGAATCCTAATGTCGTGCTAAATTTACAAGATTATTGATTCGTTTGTTCGATATTAGCACATGTTTTATGATTTCTGTACTGGCATTGCAAAGGATGGAAACGAGCAATGACTGATGAACATAGATTAGAATTTCTACTAACAAATAATTAAATATGAGTAGAATGCCATATTGATTTATCAATTACTGCATAACCGGGGCCTGGAGCTCATAATAGTGGAGTACGTAGCTATGCGCTGAAGCAAAACATGTTGGCCTTGAGATGCGCTAGATAGGGCCTTTGCCTACGCAAGGCAATAAATGAAACCTATTAACCGAACTTTGAAACTTCAGGGATGATACAAATTTATATTATGATAATACATCATAATCACAAGTAACATTGTGTTACTCTATTACAGTCAAAATGATGCTTGCATTTTGAATATTAATTGTCGGTTCTTGTAGTAATTGCTGGAGGCGGGATGAAAACGGAATGTGTTCTCGTCAAGTCTAAATTTAGCCAATTTGCCGTAGGGAAATTTTCAGGAGCAGCAATGTAGTTTTTGCGTTTTATAAAAATCATATCCTACATTGGATAAAAGTAGCATGTTATTGTTGTGGCCCTCTTTCTGTACATACCTCGCCCGTCTCTCTGGCTCACTCCCCCCTTCTCTCTTCATTTCCCATTACGCTTCTGTATTCTCTCTCTCTTTCTTACTCACACATACACCTCGTACACTTGTTTCTCTCCCTCCTACTCTTTCTGCTGTGCGTCTCTTGTTTTACTTCCATTTCCCGACCGAAGAATAATGCCCCAAGCGTTGTGCCATTCGCCGAGTCAACGTGATGTGATTCATGTCAGGGGGGATAAAGGGAGTGCCTATGTTTTTTCAATAATCTTTTGCCGGAACAAAATGAACTGCCTTTTTCATATGCCACACAGTTTGGAACACATATAATTAGTAAATTACTTGTCCAACCACAAGGCAACACAGCAGGACAAGCCTTGGTCACCGTCATTGGGGTATATCAGCTACAACATATATCTGTTTTCAGTTTGTGTTTATTGTTGAGCTTTTTTTTGTCATGAGGTAGACAAAAATAAATTTTAACCCGGTGTTGTAGATTATTTCTAAGTGTATTTTTTTCCTCATTTTGACTCAGATTTGAGATAATGGTGACTAGTTGGCCGTGAAAACACCGAAAAGTGCCTTCAGGAATATTTCCAGATAAGTGTGTTGTGATTGGCTTTGAATCGAGTTTTTTAAAACATTCGTTTTTTTTGCTTGTGTTACATTTGTATCGTTTGCCAGTATCAATTATTCTTATTTATTCTAACGTGTTGTGTATTGTGCAACAGTGGAATATGTATTGAAATAACGGGGCCCACGAAAAAGTGAGACATCCTGTCTTGATTATCATAAGTAGAGGGACCTGGGTTTATTTATCGGCTGAGATAACATTTATTTCATAAAAACGGTGACATTGATGATGGTGATAATTACCACGGACATCAAAAATACGTTTATAATGCAGTACAGTTCTCTTTCTGTTAGGTGTTTTACCTTGTGGCATATCGTCAATGAATGTATAATATATAATTGAATAAAAGTAGGTCATTGTCTCATGTGTGGTTCCTCCATGATTGCTTAAAATTTGTCTTTAACACTGACACAGGAAAGTGGATCTTTGGAAATAGGATTTGAAAGTATGACCTGGATCTTTATTTATTTTGATGCGATGTGTTAATTTGTTTGTAGTTTATTTAATGACGGTCAGTAGCTCAGATTATATAGGGTCGAAATGATAGGATGGTTAATGACTAATAAACTAGAAATTACATGGCAGGAAGCTGTTGTGGCCGATCTTAAGGTACTATTCCTGGCACTCGCCTGGAGGGAGTGAGTAAAAACTCGAAAAACCTCAGGTTATCCGGTCTGCAGTCAGATTTTAGCTTGGAGCGTCCTGAGTTACGAAGCGGGATTGTAACAAGTCGGCCATGTTTGGTGGTGATATTATTAAAATTAATATGATGTAGAATATGAAGGTGTGGACCGGATTCATGTGGCTTTGGGACCTGTGGCGGGCTACTGTGAACAGGTTGTGAACGAAGATGGCTGTCTTTGGAATGTTGCGCCGTGCAGGGACACCCCAGAAGACAGCCACCTTCATGTTGTCGCCATGAGAATGCGAAGTCTTGCGTGGTTATAAACCGTCGGGTCTCGTAGAAGACTGTGAGCCGAACTGTCAACATGGAAATATATTTATCATGTACTGGATAAATTTATTAACACTTTCCTGATTTCCAGATCACGAAATTTACATCTACCTCACATTTTCAGGATTCAGATATTGATCTTCATAACTGTCTACCATCTACGCCAAGGTCTTCCCTTAAGGTTTTCCGAACAAAGGTTTATTATCAGAAACGTATGATAGAATTATTTCTTACTTGGTGGGTGTGTTCTCATGGCCGCAGTGGTGGTCCGATTAACATCACGTACTCAGAATTTAGTTTGGAAAATGTCATGGCAAAATACCACTTGGGAAATGCAGACGTAGGTAGAGGGATAGTTTTAAAATTAATTTAATATAAATAATCTGAGAAGATGTTCAACGTCATGATGACGGCTTTAATATTCGCGTTTCATAAGAGGAAATATTCGAAGACCTTGAGAAATTCACGAAAGGAATTAGTGCATGCTTTTCAAAATGTGTGTAAATTTCGAAGTTCAATTTGAAGTCTTTGTTGGAGACTAATATTTCCTCTTACTCATTCTCCATGCGTTTATTAGCCGAAGGACCTAATGTAACATTAGTACAATAGAAAGCTCGCCACAACTGGCATGTGCTTGGCTCCTATTTTCTGTATTAAATTTCGCGAATTTTTAAGATACCGTGTTTTGATATTAGACCGAATTATAAATTTTGAAGGAGTTGTATAATCGATCTATATTTGTACTGGTTTTAAATATTTAACATTGAAAGACCGAAAATGTTTTACATATACCGCCTAGTGCCTGCTGCGAAATTTAAAACCTCGTTAAAATATCCTCCGTCTCTGCCTTATGAACATGGCTGTAAATAGTCGTTTATACTAGGCTTAGGGGACTCTGATCTTATAAACTGTATTTTTATTACTTTCTGCAGTAGAGAAAGGGAAAATTTACGGGAAAGTTACAAGTCTTAGCTAGAATTGAATTATATTTTCGTCATATATTGATCGAAGTGTACTGTAAAGAGCAGAAGTACCAAAGTACCTATTCCCCAAGTATGTTTAAATTTTCATTATTATGGTACAAGCAATGCTATATTTTTTATATAAAAACATAAATGTTTGTGTATGCACCCACGCGTATTATTGCTGACAAATATTTCATGATCAACGATTTTCCTACCATAGACGTGGCAACTATTCATTAACGAAGTTCGTGACCAAGAGTGTCTATTGAGAAGCTGATAGTCCCTCAAATGGTCAATAAATTCCCCTCCTTTTCTAGAACCCGAAGGCTCATCACCGTATTCACAACAGCCCATCACTGGATCCTGTCCCGAACGAGTTTATTCCACACTTTCACACTTTCTTTCCTAAAGGACCAATTTCATATCGTATCTATCCTTTGTTCTTAAGCACTCTTTTGTTTCCTTAGTATGAGAAAACTGGTTTCACGCCTTGTAAAACAACCGGGAGGGATTTTAAGCTAACAGGAGAAGGGAAGACAAAAGATTGTGATCTGGACGGTAGAAAACATTAACCGAATGTAATTTATTCCAAAAACTTCTTTTCGATGTAATTTTGATTTCGTTGTCGTCGTTCCCAAGTATTTGAACACTGATATAATTATAAACTGTTTATTAGGTGTCTTTATGTTATCTTGTTCTGCATTCTGATGACGAACATATGGCTTGTTTTACTAGTGTTTATTTCTAGGCCAACACTATTTATAAACAACAACCTTACTGTCTAATGGAGTTTCTGTGTTTTCACTTGTGTGACTGGTTTGACTGTTTGCAGTTTTAAAGACTTGTCTAGTTTCTTTTTTATAATTGTTGCGAAGATATAACGTGTGAGATTTCAGATTCGTACGTCTACTAATGTTGAGATTACCGTGTTCTGGGATGTTGCGCTGTGTTGTCCGGTTGCCTCCATCATCAGGGTGATCATAACATCCCAGAAGATGGTCTTTATGTTTTATATTTATCTTGCTTATTAGCCTTTGGAATTTACTGAGCTAATGAAATACACATTATATTTTCTCGTTATTCTAAGTTATTTAACGTACTGAGAATAGCTCGCTGCTGGTGGTTAATGACACTATTCCATTTATTCACCATTTTATAGGGTATTTACATCTATGTACCCGAGACAAATCTTGCCCCTGAGGTACATAGTGCAGCAGGTATTTCCGAAATACATTTTGTTTTTAATATGTGTTACTTATTATAATAGTAATTATTATTATTATACCATTATTATAATCTGAGAGGTCTGACAAGAACGCAATAATTCCAGTATGAATAAAGTTATTTTTGAACGACGTCTCCATGATAATAAAAGTTCGGTGTTGCTTTAGCTTAGGGGGAAGGGTTCAGGGCGGGGAATAGGGTTGGAAACGGTTGGAGGGATGAATCTTCCAACATGCAGCAGCAGAAGAAGACTTGCCTGCACAGTGTTGCCACATTTATAATAGAAAGGCTTTTTTAAACATTGGTATCTTGTAGTGTTTGTATTAATTTTAAGTGTGTCGGAAAAAATGCATGAGGCAAATTTAATAAAAATCAAGTTTAAAATTAAGTAGCGGTCTCAGTTAGAGACCAATGTTTGATATCAGCATTTGAAAGAA